CACCGAATAGTCACTGAATGTTTACCATATAATAACCGAATGGTTACTGAATATTTATTGAATAGTTACCCACCAATTTCATTCCTTTACCCAACAATCAACCGACTACCAACCAACTAACACTGAACTAAAACGGTCAGGCGATTATGGGCTGATATTCGATTAATTTCTGGAAAATCGTTCAGTTATTTTCGGAAACAAGTTGGGGGAAATTAGGGTTGTAGTCGGTGGTAGTAGGGTTGTGGATGGGGTTTAGACGGAACATAGCCAACTAAAAACCAACTATAACACTGTCTATTACCCAAGTACTCCACTCTTAGGAGAGAGCTCGAGATGAAATGAGAAGCGCAAACAACATTGTCCTGTTATTATTCTTGTTGTTGATGATGACACTCTTTTCCACAACAACAACAATAGGATACTTTTCGTATGTGAAAGCAACAACTGCAAGTTCCACCACTAAATTATCATATATTTCAACAATTGCAGGAAGTGGATTAATGGCAGCATCAGGTATGGAAGGAGATGGTGGTTTGGCTATCAATGCCCAATTAAATGCTCCCTCCTATTCAATAAGTATTTCCCCTCTCAACAATAATAATTACACTGAAACACTTATTATAGATACACAAAATGGAAGAATTAGAAAAATATTTATGAATGGTACAATTTTCACATTACCAATTAATATGCAAACAGGTAACAAGTTTAAACCAACCGTGGCTGTTTTATTTAGAAATGAATTATACATGACAGATGTGTTAAATCATAGAATTCTTTCTGTTTCTCTGTCAAGTTATTTGGTGACCATTGTTTCTGGAAAGCAAAACTGTAATGGACATTCTGATTGTGATGGTTTTAGTGGTGATGGTGGTTTAGCTAGTAGAGCAAAATTAAATTCACCAAATGGTCTCTCTATTTCTCAGAATGGTGAAATTTACATTGCTGACACATTGAACCATAGAATCAGAAAGATTAATAGTTATGGAGTGATTTCAACTATTGCTGGAACTGGTAGAGCATCCTTTGGTGGTGATGGTGGATTTGCTGTTCTTTCACAATTAAACTCTCCAAATGGTGTTCATATTTCACAGAATGGTGAAATTTACATTGCTGATACATTGAACCATAGAATTAGAAAGATTAATAGTTATGGTGTGATTTCAACAGTGGCAGGAACTGGTAGAGCATCCTTTGGTGGTGATGGTGGTTTGGCTATAAACTCTCAATTGAATTCACCATATGGCGTCCATGTTTCACAGAATGGTGAAATTTACATTGCTGACACATTGAATCATCGAATTAGAAAGATATTTGTGAATGGAACTATTACAACCATTGCTGGAAGTAGTAGCGATGGATCATTTGGTGGTGATGGTGGTTTGTCAATTGCGAGTCGACTTAATTCTCCTAAAGGTGTTTTTGTTTCTCCAAATAATAATGAAATATTAATTGCAGACACATCAAATAACAGGATTAGAAAGATCATTGAATGTGGTACAACTCTTCAATTACACAAGAT